ATAAACTCAGTTTCACCCTCATCTAAATAGAGCTTATCAGAAATGTTTTGTCATGTGCAGTGATGCCAGTAGTTACAAAGTTTACATTCCAGGGCTTTATCATCGTCAAATACCTCTTTAAAGCAGCTGGCACATAAGTTGGTATCCTTAGTATCTTTTCTAGCACTACTATTCTTAGTTTTTTGTTTTTTTGTACTCACACTTGTCTTCCTGGAGGTTGCCATCCCTGCCACACACACTGCAGGGCTAGGCCTAAGCCTATCAATCAGAATCCGTAAAAATCAAGTTTAATTAAACCTCACTCTGCCAAGGTTATTGCTAGCTGGAAATCAACAGACATTTAACTTGAAGATTATTGCTATTTGAAAAAGGTTTGATATAAAAAACCAATAAATAATCCAATCTAATTCAACAGAGTTTAAGAGAAAAACAGAAACACAGCTACCACCTTGAAGCACACCCCACGAACATTGATCAACTTGATCAACCAGTAGCCGAACATTTCAATTTAGCTGGTCATTCAATTTCAAATTTCAGAGTGATTGCAATAGACCATAATGCCAATTGGAGCGACAAAAATCGCAAGAGATCACTGGGAACTTTTACTTAAAACCACCACACCATTTGGACTCGATATTAGGAACGTTCTCCCAGTACACTTAATTTAAACCAATGGCATTCCAAATTATTCTGGATTAATCACTTGGCTTATTCATTGAGGCATGCCTCTAAAGTTTAGTTTTGGCCTTCCTGTTTACTTGTTTAGGCTGTTTATTCTAATCCCACCTAGCCTATTGTTTCTAATCATGCTTCCATGAAATTCTCACTTTATACTATCTGGCTTTTTCAACCCTCACTCACTCGCCACTGAGGAAGGACTAGTGTGTCAATCTGACAAGGGAAGCCTAGGCAGACATAACATACAAGAAATGAGCTTAAATTCTAAGTTTAACAAACTTAAAATTCTCACTGGTAACTGATATTAAGCCTACTTATTTAGTCTGGTCGTTTTACTATGTACCGGGAAAAAATTGTAAGCTTTTTTGGTATCAATACTGTATATGTTGTTATTTTCGCGTACATAATTTCTTGACATTTTCGCGTGTTGGTATTTTCGCGGACGCCATTTTAACAAAATGTTACATTTTAGATGTACTGTACTGTAGTGTAGCTACGATCACAATCTTTTTTGTTGTACGGAAGACTTAAAAACGATGCATAGACTAGGCACTGTACTAGTAGTAGTAGGGCATAGTAGTACTGTCTCTAGTAGGGCTCTTAGTAGTTATTTTTGTAGGCCTGTACAGTCGGTAAAAAAAGGAATTGTTTTTTCCAGGTCTCAAACTACGCCCGCGCTGAACATGCTAAATGCGGCGTGGCGTAATCCATCACACGCTACAGCTGTGCTACCCGAGATTTCCGACCTATAACGGGGTTTCCCCTTTCATTCGGTTTGTTGTTTACAGTACTTCCTGTAATTTGAAATTTCGCGAAATTCGTGAAAATTAAACCCTCGCGTAAATAACAACTTATACAGTATATGCACATTGGTGTCCTCTTTAACATGCGAAAACTCCTCTTCGCCAATTCTAATTTTAACAGATATTAATTAATGAATGATTAAGGATTATAATAAACTAAATCATTTTAGGGTTAACTATTCGAAAAATAAATCAAAAATCTGAGTATTTTTCAGTTTTACGCTGACTTAACTTTATAGTCGAACCAGTCAATCTTTAGACAAAATTATAATGAACACAGAAGTAATTTTAACATAAATATTTTACGGAATCCGTTCCTGAAATATACAAATAATAACATACCAAAAGCCCGAAAAAATCTAATCAGGGGAACATTGTTCACTATAAAGATATTTAATGGGTTAAAATCAAACGTTTTATTGCACAACTGCTCTGCTGAAGCGTATAAATGCATGTCGTTGCCAAGTTGTTGCTAACGAAAAAATGTGAATTATAGAGTAATACGCCCGTCCGCGATCCAGATGCGGGGAACACATAGGTTTGTCGCGTCAAAGGGATCTGTTGCCAAGTGATCTCCTTCTCAATAATACCTCCATAGTTTAACCTTCCCGACAACTGTCGGAGACTGTCGCCGATAGGGTGAGCAATTGTATGGAAACCGAGCATGGTTTAATCCAGCTTGGTAAATGGTTTTGTACCAGGTAGTCTGCAGGCCAAGACAAAAAATTTATATAGCATTCATATTTTTTTGGTCGTGGTAGCGCAAGCAAGTAAAGTGCGACTACAGGTGATATCTTAAGTAGTTCAACTTTATGTATATATTATAATTATGCTTATATGGTATTTTTTCTGATTGACCTATTTAATTCAATTTTTTTTTGGTAATAGCCGAATTGTTAGTAAAATTTAATTTAGAGAATGAATAAAAAAGAATCATAACTACAATAAGCTGCTATTCTATGCTGTTGTTCTTGTTTCACTGCTTTTGGCAAACTGGGTTTCGGCAAACTGGGATTCACGGTTTTTGATTCGGCAATCTTGCACTTGGCAAACTGGGTTTCAACAATCTGCCCTAGATCCTTTCCTACACACTAGAAGCTTATTCGTCTGAATCCTTGCGCTGCCAGGGCGTTGTTCATAGATTTCACAGATCTCTGTTGAACAGTCTAGCACATCTACACCCCCACCCACCTTAATGATTTGTATCCTAGAGCCACCACTCTGCTTTATCAAAAGATCATTATTTTAACCCCTTCCATATATTTTAATAAAGTCGTGTGACTGGATCTCTTTCCAGTGGTTCTAGCAGCCCCTAGCATCATCCACTAACGCTCTAGCCGTGGACAAGGTCAGTCACCCCTTCTTTCTCCAGCAAATACTGGCACCACCTCTTTGCCAGACTACCTAGTAAAAAATCTGTTACTAGGAGTATGTGGCTCATTGGTTCGGCCGATCCCCCCTTTCGAGCAAGCCTTCTCTTAAAAACCAATTCCCTACTTGTATTAAAATAGGATCGAAATGATGATAAAGAATGAAATCAGCTACTAATAGTAAGTGGTAAAGGAAATAAATAAATTAATAATCACCTACAATTATACTTATGTACACTTATGTACAACAGAGAGGGCAAACTGGGTTTCAGCAAACTGAGTTTAGGCAAACCGGGTTGTCATGATTCAGTTTACTGGAATCGGCAAAATGGGTTTCACTATTTCAGCAAAATGGCCATGAACTAGGCAAATTACAGTAGTTTCGGTTAACTGGGTTTCGACAAACTGGGTTTCGACAAATTTGGGCTTTTAAAGCTGTTTTCATACGTCTTGAAGCTAATTATGATTATACCACAGAACTAAAAGAAGAAAAAATGTTTTGTCAAATAAGCCGTGCCCAAAGGGGGAGGGAAATACAGTGCCGTTGGAAAGAGCTGTCCTTCCTTGTCCGGGATAAAAAAAAAAAGAATTCGTAGAGAATGTATACAGAATGCACAACTTTAAAATTGATTAAATAAGCCTTTCAAATCCTTGTCAACAGAGTTTTGGGCTGAGTCTGGCCACGCCTATTTCCATCAGGAAGATTGGCCTTCTCAAGAACAACACCCCACCCATGTCAGAGATACCGGGACCCCCGCCATCAAGGAAAAGGGGATGGGTTTTGCCAGACAAGGGGTCGATATCTCTGATGGAAAGGCTAATCTTCTTGGCAGAAGCCCAGGTGGGCGGGGCCAATGGCAGCCAAGAACCCCAGTGGCAGATCCGGAAATTTGAAATAGAGGAGATTTATGGTGGGAAGAGTCTAGACTACCCCAGCCCCAACATGATTGATGGGGCTGCATGATTACGGCACCTCTAGATGGCCGGAAATGGCACTGTCAGATGTATAATGTAGATTTTTTTATAGATTTAATAATTTATTTTTGGTGGGGAGGAAGCGGTGGCCAGCTGGGCCTCCTTGAATTCGCCACTGAACCCTTCAGGGTTAGGGCGAGACTACTGAAACTCTGACTATTTAGGGATTTAAAAGGCTTATTGAATTGATTCCAGAGCTACATTTTCTGTAAAACTTACATAGGTTTTTCTTCTTCCCGACAGAGAGTAGGGGAAATTACTGTCCCCTGGCCCAGATTTAGCGCCATGCCATTACAAATCCTCCTTTTGAGCAAAACCCTTTGATCAACCAAACTAAACCAACTTGCATTAAATACTATCAAAACGATGACATTTACGGTACCATTTACATGCTGGACTTCATTCATTTGCACTCCCCTCACCATTGAACCCCTTCCTCTGAACCCCATAATTTGGTGTATATGTTCCTCCTGGCTCTCCTAGATACCTTATATGGATTCCTGGCTACAAGCCTTTTCAAACATTTTTCTCAAAATATGCAGGTCTATGCTCAAAGTATTATCTTATCTGTGAGAAATCATTGAAGTTTAACTGAAAATAGGGGGCTTCAGTAAAACGGCTACAGCTTTTTTTCCCTAAGGATGATTGAAGAGGAGTTTTTGCATATTAAAGCAGACATCCGTGTACATCGATTGATACCAAAAAAACAATTTTTTCCCAGTACTAGTAGCCCATGATTTTGACCTAAATCGACCAGACTAATTGTATTTGTAAAGATTGGCTAGGCCCTAGGCCTATATTCTAATATTTAATATTGACAAAAAACACACATTTGATTTCCTGCTTTCTCAATAATGACGATGTTAAATACATTGCGGCCGAACTGGTTAGCGGCCGAAATGGATGGCCTTATACACAGTAGATATCCAGCACTGCAGGTTAGAGAGGCCAGCTTAGGGCCTACTGTACCTAGTAGGCCTAACCACTACTAATTAGTACTACTGTAGGCATAACCTACCTAGGCATAATAGACGAATAGTCCTATCTATAGTAGGTCTAGCCTAGGCCTAGGGTAGGCCCTAGCCTACTAGTACTACTACTAGTACAGGCCTAGCCTAGTAGGGCCTAGCTAGGCCAAGACACATGACAGGATCACAAAAGCTAACAACATTACCCAGTTTCTAGATCTTCTTGGGCCATGGTGTTTTCTACCTCGTTTCCCCATTTTATCCCTCTTTTGCCTAACAAGTATAGGCCCAATTAGATGAAAAACTGCTTTACTACAGAAGTAAAACCGTCCACATGTAACAAACATGAACGCATGGACAATCTTTGATTATTATTGTCACAAGAGCGCCGCCAATATCGCTTGGTTCCCGGCCATAACACATACAGATACAAGATATTCAGTTTTGTAAGAAACAGAAATTTGTCTAGGCCTATCATTTCCAGTAAGAAGTATTTGGCACCAACTAAAGGAAATTGGTAGTCAGAATTAAAATACCAATACATACATATTACATAAAACTAAAAAAAAAAATACGTAGACGTGAAAAAATACACAAACATAAAACAGAAATAAAAGATTATTTGCATGCAATACGTACATAATATCTTACACAAAAAAAAAAACAGCTAAATATAATACATTTAATTACACCATTCTCCTTACATTAAAATAACCTGTAGAGTTAGATTTCTTAATGAAATAAATCATTAATTTATTTACACAACACGGATTACTGCTGCTGCTCGACCGTAAGGTCGTACAGGTAAGCCTTACAGAACCCGCTTTTCCATGTAGGCCTAATTATTTTTGCAAAATTTCAGTAGGCCTAGGTGTCCTTTAACTTTGAAGATTTGTTTTTTTCAAATGGCCTCTCGAGTTGTGGAGGTATAAAAAAATTGTATAGGTCCATGCTAAAAGAGAACATGCAGTAAGCGTTTACAGTCGTTGCATGTCACCACATGAAACATGTCACTCAATCTTTATAAAACTAAATTTCAATCCAAAGGATCGTTATAACTACTGTACAGAGGTGTGTTTCATTTCTTTCTAAAGTACTGATGGAGAAATTGTATGATGTTTCCAACTTAGATTATTTTTTTCAGAAAATCAATTCGATCAGTCCGTTCCCCTCGATGTAAATGAAGACAACTACTGTATCTGACACCGACAAAAGTAAACCAATGAAGGCAACTGACATGGTGCTTCTCTGGTCATAGGCTATCTAGATCAAAATTGGTAAGCTCTCGATGTATCTCCATTTGCCTCAAATAAAAATCCACACATTAGGCCTATCTTCAACTCCTGTCATGGAAGACTTAAGTCGGAAACTCACTGCATCGTACGGCGGTCGTAACCGTCGTACGATCCAACTCCGCTCCCTGTGAGCGCTATACGATGCGACGCCGTCTGCTGATTGTCGATGGTCGTCTGAAAGGATAGTCATTAAAAACGAACAGTTGCACGCTCGTCGTCGAGTTGCGTTCTTCATAGAATCACGTCGGCCGAGTGCCCGGCTTTAAGCTTTGTCACAAGGCCGTTTGCATATTTTTAGTAAGAGATGAAACAGGCCTGTGTGGTTTGTAATTTGTTACATTTTTACAAATTTATTATAACGAATTTCATTGTAGTTGTTACCGATCTTCTCAAGTTGCTATCAGATTTTTTAAAAAAAATCAGCAATTTTGCTTAACTTAGATTAATTCTGGATTCTCATCAATATCTTCCTGGTCCAGTTCCTCATTAGTCTTGTGGAATGTCCATTTTTCTTCTCTTGTTTATTGGTTTGGTCTCCTTTGTTTTTATAGTTTAGTGTACAGCATGTACAACGATTAGAAGATTTGCACATAAGAAACCCAGGGTAGCCTATATTATGTAGGTCATACCACGTCTGTAAAATTTAAAATGACGAAACAAGAAAGATACACTCTTCCCACTTAGGTCATATTTAACCCAAATTTGGTTAGGACAACAAAACAATCTGGGTTCTCATACCACACTCTGGTCGCTATCCAAAATATTGTTGAATTTATCTAAAATGTAATTGACCCAAGGGGATTTTCATATCCTGTATTTGGTTAAATTCTGACTTTGGGTATATGACCCATTAAAAAATGGTTTGCTCTAACAACTCTGCAAAAATTACCATCATTCTGGAGCATTCCCGGACCTCTACCGGATGGCTCGAACAAAGGAACCGGATTACACTTGCCCTGCCTTAGACGACCAGTGCCCACAAACAGCGATCGATTGCCATTCAGAGATAAATGCATGAATTACATATTTAAAAAATAAACAATGGGTGTCACAACTCACAAAGGCTTAAATAAATTTATCTTTTTCTTCTTCATACTTGGTATCCTGTTCAGTAACGTAGATATCTAGAGTTAGGCCTATGCTTTTAGTAACTAAGTCTAAATGAGACCTAGGCAGTGGCGGATTCAAGGCCCCCACCCCTAAATTTTTCAATTGTAAAAAAATGGAGAAAAAAAGAAAATCATATTTAAATTGTAAGTCTGAGAGTGCCATTTCCGACCGTCTAGAAGTGCCATAATCGTAAATTTTCTTACCTCCATCTATCAAAGTCCCTCCCTGCCCCCCCCCCCCACTCTGTTTCAAATTCTCGGATCCGCCACTCTGCTAGGCAGTGCATGTTGTTTTTTAGTGGACATGCTGGGGTATAAGGAGAGCTTGTGACGAAGATCTCAAAAGTCAGACCGAATTATGTGGTGAGATTAGGTCCGATATTATGTGTACTGTAGTCTTTAGAGCTTTGAATACATAGAGTAATATGCTTTGAAGTAGATTCTGTTTTTGTATGCGATCATAAATATTTATCTTTGTTTTTATAGATCCAACTGCTCTATTCTTGACACGTTGGAGCGGAGGCGTCCAGGGGTGGATCCAGCCCGTCAGTCCCGCCGAAAAATTTTTTAAAAAGGGAGAAAAACTGGGAAGTGTTAAAGGGAGGGAAAAGTGGAATGAAGGGAAGTGTGCCCATGAGTTCAGTGGCGGACCCGCTACCGCTAACTAATTTTATATTTTCTATTAATTGACGACGAACACGACGTTACGCTATATCCCCTACGTCGATTTTTCTCACGATTTCATAAACCAGGATGTATAAAAGGCCAAAAGACGGAGACCTAAGAGAGGGTTTTTTAACCATTATTACTGAACGTAGTACCCAGCTAGAACAGTATCCATGCTCAGTGGCTACGGATGCGCTCTCGTGCAACGATCCGCAGGGCCACTGACCCTTAGGGGCCTCTGCGGTGCCCCTACCCATAGGATCCTCGCTCTATAGCACCCTGATCTAAAAGGGCTTTGTTGATACATAACAGCATAATCTCTGACATCGACTGTAGGACATATAGCATACGGTATTAATCCAGTGGGGATGGGGTGCCCAGCCGACCTGGAACTCCTACATTTGTCGAAATTTAAAAATAATAAATAAAAAATGGAGATAAAATAGTCAAGTTTAAGTCTGAATGAGTGCCATTTCCGGGCATCTAGAGGTGCCATAACCATAATTTTCTTTGCGAATTCCAGTATAGAATAGACTATAGGTCCTTAATTTAAAAAAATCATTTTTACCATCTGAGAGTGCCATTTCCGAACGTCTATAGAGGGGCATATTCTTAAAATTTGGGGCTGAGGTGGGTGTCTTCTACTGAATGTCTTTTTATCCAAGTACTTTTGAACTGATCCTTGCATACAACATGGTTAGATACATACTAATGTTGCTAATTAGATGCTGGAGTTGCATTTCAGAGTAAAAAATTACTTCAAGATTCTTGACATTTAATTAACTAGAAAGGTTAAGTTTCCATTTGAAATTGATCGAAGTGGATTTTAGTTAGAAAGACATTTGAAAAACTAGATTTAAAAGCGTATGAGTTCAGACCTTTACGTTAAGCTAATAATAGTGGACGTAATGTAGCCCATTAATGAGTCGGCACAGCAATCCATTTATAATCCAAATTATAACTTTTTTGAATGCAATATTGGACATCGTCTGCATAAGTCATGACTTGAAGTCATGTTTATGAATGTCTTCATGTAGAGTGGTGTTCCTAGAGGATGGATGAATGAACGTGGTATGAGGACTGATCCCACGACACTATAAATATAGATTGTTAACTGAAACCCTGCAGAACCACAAAACATAGGCCTAATGTCAGCCATTATTTAGATAAGCCTGAACCGACGTAACCCATCTAGTAAACAAAATTTATCCTGGATTTTAAATTCAAAAACTATAAATAATTTATTACACGCTACAAAAAACATATATAATTGGGATGATATTATGATGAAACTAGATCCAAACGTTGTATTTTTTTAAATTATTATTATTATTAAGAAATAATTGAAAAGGGTATAAAATGAATAGTAACCTTTCTGAAAGAGAAATATGTTGTAGCAACATTTTCATTAATTTTGTTTTATTACTTTCACACCCAACAACAAGTATAGTACATACGTATAAGTACATACATACATTTTCATTTGTTTTTATTGTAATAGCCTCCAAAATAGTAGAAAATAAATAATTAAAAGATGATCCTGGTAACAAAGGATTACAATTATTTTGGGAAAATGGATCACACGAGCTTCAACTTCATTTGCTCCTTGATGACTTAACTACGTTGTTCATAACCTATCTAATAAAATTGAAAATCATTAATAAAAAGTAGAACACATTTTTGACCAATATTGTAAAAAAATATCTCAACTTGGCTTGGATAAGGATCTGTTTTATACAACTCAATGACTGCCCCTTCCCAAAATTTTATAGTCTCCTAAATGAACTCGTTTTAATTGTCTTTATTGGTGTACTATATATACATAATACATATAGAGAGTATATAGAAGTAAATATAAACATTGATACGATAAAAAAAAAAAGTCATACACAGTTGACTTATAGGAATATTCTTTTGTTTGAAATAAAATAATGTTTCTATAATACGTCAACTGTGTATGCTTTTTTATCGTATCAATGTCTATATTTACTTATATTTCACTGGGAACAACGTGTTGCTTACCATCTTATTGATGCCTACTTTATATATATATATATATATATATAATATATATATATATAGGCCTATATAAATGTTTTAGTACGTGTATTGTAATTACCTAAAGGTTCCGCTTCGTGAGACCTATGTATTCTTTGGCGCACCAAAGAATACATAGGGCTCACGGAAAACGAATTCAAAACAAGATACTGTATTGTAACAACCACACCATGTATTTCCGACAAGCCAAATATCACTCCCACACAGAACTATAATGTTTGGAACCTCAAAGATAATAACGTACCAT